CGCGAGGGGCGCTGCCCGGGAGGTGGGCGCCGGGTGTGGGGCCGGTGGCGTCGCCGGCCCGCGTTCGGAGGTTGCCGGGGCGGCGGCGGGTCCGCGCTAGGGAGACGGACCTCGTCGCGCCGCGAGACGCGTGCGGGACGTGGGTCTCGGCCCGCTCCGGACCCTTGTGCCCGGCGGCCGCGCCCGGACTTCTGGCCCCACCTTCCTCCGCGCTGGTGGACGTCAGCCCGGCCCAGCCGGCCTGGGGACGTGGCAGCACCTGGGGAGGCCGCTTCTCCTGGAGTAGCATTGCGGTCGCGCGGGCCCCGAGGTTAGCAGACGCGCCGGGTGAGGGCGGAGCTTGTTTTCCCGGACGGTTCCCGGTGGTGCCCGGCGCCGCTCCTCGGGACTTTTGCCCTCTCGTGTTTTGCTGTGTGGCGCTGGGACCTGCGGGCTAGCCCATTTCCTAGATGGGCAGCATTTCCGTCCGAGAGTTTTCGTCAGAATACTTAGAGAGATAACTTACTTTTTAAAACGATTGTGACACTTTTTGTTCTTTCAGTCCTGTTTAGTTGCTACTTAACAGTTAGGGAAGTTTAGTATTCAAAGCCGAGAATGCAGAGATAATTCACACTTTGGCCTAGTGCTTACTGTCCCTTGGTAGAGGCAATCTTAGGTCGTATATCAGCAATGACCGCTTGTAATGCTTTCAAGTTCATCTGAGTCTCCTTACATTTCTTTTCTCCAAGCAGCCATCACAATTTTTGAGAATAGAAAATTAAGTTACAAACAAACTGAAAAAAATACATCTGGCCAAAGACTGAGGGCTCAATTTTCCACGCTGTTTCCACTATTATTTTCTTTAATATTTATACATTAATACTATTTGGTGCCTGAGAGCATTGTAGGAGAAAACCATTTCTCAACTCATAAAGCCTTTAGAGACTGCATTTGTTTACATTAGGGATCAAGACTATGTTTAAATATGACTTTCACTGGCCATTGGAAGGGTTAGGTATCTAGCATCAGCACTAGGAAGGGGAATGACCAATTTAAAAGAAGCAAGGCAATGAAAAGTAGCGTGGTGGGAGGTTGTCGATATTTGTCTCACCTCCCACCTCTCAGTCTCAGTTCAAAATGTGTCCTAGCCCCACCTCTTTCTTGGAAACACTCTTAAATTCATCTCTGGTTTAGCAAATCCAGTCTACATTTCAGAAAGCATTCTTTTTTTTTTTTTTTTTTTTTTATTTTTTTTTTTTTTTTTTTTTTTTTTAATTTTTTTTTATTTTTATTTATTTGAGAGAGAGAGAGAGAGAGAGAGAGAGAGAGAATGTGGTGTGTGTGTGTGGCCAGCTCAGCCCACCGGGGGCGGGGCTGGCTGGCATGTGGTGCTGGGGGATTGAACCGCGGTCCCTGATGCTTTGCCAAGCTTGTTCTAAGTAGGTGCCTTAGACCACTGAGCCATCTCTCCAGCCCCTCAGAAAGCATTCTTGCTGGCTTCCCGCAGAAATACTGTTGCCCATTCCTACCTTGAAACACACCGCCTCTTGCACACCATGGTCTCTGTTCAACTCATTTTCTGCAAGCTGATCTGCTACCTGAATAAACCAGGTTTGGTTTTAAGTCATAGTCTGTTTTTCTCTCGATATTTTCTTATCAGATAATCTCAGCACAGAAGTTGACTTTAGAAACCATCAGTACGCTGATGATACCCGCATTATGTCTCAGTGTGCCATGTCTCAGTGTGCCTTCTGGGATGTTTTAAGGAGCTTAAAATGAGCATGTCAGAGACTAGACTAGACACTGATTCCAACCTTTTGACCAGCCTCCCCCCAGACACCACCACATAGGTCAACCATCTTGACTGCTTGCCACTTACCTTGTTAGTGAAGAATGCTACTACTTGTCTGATGGCTCAAGCCATGCCTCTTCCTTTCCTGCCTTCATATCTGGTCACCAGCTTTTACCACATAAACATTTAAAAAATATTTTCTCTTGTCTCTACTATTTTCACCCTAATCTACATCTTGATGGTGTTCACTGATGAAGTTTTAGCAGTAGCCCTTGTTAGTAGATAAGCAGCAGTAATCCTCTAATTGTGACAAAAGTGTCTCTCGACTATTACCAAAAGAACCAAGGGACAGTATAATTACCCTCTCCCCTTCCTGAGAAGCACTAAGTTGTTCATGTCAGCTATTTCTGAACCTCTCCTCATGAGCTCTGCATCATCACATTGTGACGTTGTGATGGCCTAATCTATGCGCTTTGATCAGAAGGATCTTTTCAAAGCACAAATAGGACTTGTCCGTACATAACATCAACCTGAATGTCATTCTGCAGGTAAATGTGTATGATAAAATACTGTTCAACAAGAAAAAAGAACTTTGGATATATGCAGCAATTTGTATGAGTCTCAAAGGCATATGCTGGTTGAAAAAAGCTAATCTTAAAAGGTTTCTTACTGCATGATTCAGTCTGTGTTATGTTCATGGAGTGAGAAAGTATGAGAGACTGGATCAGTTGTTTTCTTGGCTTATAGCTGATAGGAGGATCAGTGCAAGTAGTTTTGTGAAGTGACGAAGGAGCTGTGTATCCCAACTAATGTAGCAGTGATGAGGAGTCTGTATAGGTGATGTAGTGTCATAGAACTACGCACATATGCATACACATGAGTAAATACAAAAACTGGGAAATTCACTTAAGGTTTATAGATAACAGTATTGTACCAGTGTCAGTTTCCTGGATTCAGTCATTGCACTGTCAACACATGGCGTGTTATAAGTGAGAGAGGCTGGATTGGGATACATAAGAACTACAATTTTTTTTTGTCTTCTTGTGAATTTAAAATTTCAACAAAGTTAGAAGAGTTAAATATGCCACTTCCAGCTTGAATTGCTTACTGTGAGATCTGGGCTTTTGTCTATCTTTTCAAAAAGTCTTCATTTTTTTTCTGTTCTTGCCATGTAGGTTTTCTTGGAATGTACCATGTTCCGTTAATATTGCTGGAATGACACTTTAGCAGCAATGCTCCAGCTTTGCATGGCATTTATATACCTGCTATATGTTCACTTTTTTTGGCAGCTGCCTTCTTTATCCCTTTCTCTTGTCCTATTTAAGTTCTGTTTCTCCTTCAGATCTCAGTTTATCTTTGGCATCTTTGGAAAAGCCCTTTCCTGACCTCCGTTAAGAATCATATTCCTATGAAACTGTGTTCACACACAGCGAGCACATAGTCCAGACCACAGGTGTCTATTGGTACTGTATTGGTATCATTTTATATTAGTATTATTTGGTTGTACTAGACCTTATGCTGTTTGTTTTTGCTTGCTGTTGTGTTTTCAAAAGCACAGTATGTATGATGGTTGGCAAGCAGTGAACTTTCATTGAATATTTGTTAAATGAGTACAAATATCAAAAACAAATCTGGCCCATTTAGAGGTTTTAACTTGTGATGAACTGATTTATAATATTTAAGGAAATTTTCATAGTTTTTATTTTTTTTTATTTTATTTTTAAATATGTTTTATAACCTATTATTATCTATTAAAACCTTCCTATCTAGTAGTACATTTGTGTGCACACTTTTGTAGAACTTGAAGCATGTAATTTGGTTTATTAAGTGTACTTTATTTTTATTTATTTATTTTTTATTTTTGGTGGTACCGGGAATTGAATTCAGGACCTTGCACTTGCCAGGCAAGCACTAATTCTATTGAGCTATCTCCCTGGCCCTACAAGTGTACTTTAAAA